GGCATGTTGGCTTTGCCTAACCAAGTAGAGCCCCTGGCAGCCACTTGCTTTCAGAATCCAAAGTCGCTGCCATACTCACTGGCCTGACTCTACTGTCAAGCAGAGCCCCTGGCAGTCACTTTCTTCCACAATCCAAAGTTGGTGCCATACCCCTCGGCTGACTCAACTATCTTAGGACAGACCTCATCAAGATATAATCTGTTGAAAATTCTGGTATGCAGGTTTTGTTAGTGAAATTGCCAGACTTTCTCAGGGTTAGGATGGGCTACCTCCCCCCACTTCCTTATACTTCTGTAAGCCTCAGCAGTCACATCCACACCTCAAAGTGGCCACTCAATTGAAAAGCTACTCCAGCCTTACTGTCCTGATAGAAATACCAAATGCCCTTAAGAAACATCATAACCTCTTAGCACCTGTATTGCAAATCATAATGCACAAAAGTAAAAGGAAAGAGAGAGAGCAAGAAGGGAAGTTGGTGATGGTGGTAGGGAAAAGGGTGACATTGATAGTGGAAAATGTGCATTATTGGAGGAATAAGTGCTGAATCATTGTATGACTGAAACCCAATTATGAACACCTTTGAAACAGTCTATTTCATGAATATCCAATTAAAATTTTTTTTAAACTAATATGGAGTTCATGCCCAATTCAGTCAGCTTAATCAATGGCTGAATAAACAGCAGTACTCCTACATTAAAATAATTAAAATTTAAGGTTGAAGGAAGAAATTGAAGAGACGAGTTTAGCATATATATTCATTCCCAAAAGGTTAGGTTTGCATTCTTCTTCAAAGCACCTGGGGCATTCTCCAAGATCGACCACATGCTAAGTCACAAGTCATACCTTGATAAAATTAAGAGAATAAAAATTGCATCAACACCCTTCTCAGAACATGATGCATTGAAATTAAAAGCTAATAAAAAAAACAGAAATGGGGTAAAAACTCAAACACTTGGAAATTAAACAGGCAACGCCAGTTAACTTGTGGATCAAATATGAAATCAAAACTATCCCTGAAAACAAATGAGAATATGAGCTACTAGAACCTATGGGACACAGCAAAAGTAATTTTAAGAGGAAAGTTCCTAGCAATTGAAGTGTTAATTAGGAAACAAAAGGCACACATACATAACTTTGATTGCACAGCTTAAGTAACTAGAAAAAAAAAGACCAAAGCAAGTAGAATGAAGGAAACATTCACTTAGAGCAAAAAAATAATGAAGGAGAAAAAACCAATTAAAACAATCAATGAAACCAAAAACTGGTTCTTTGAAAAAATAAACACTATTGGCAAACAATTAGCAAGGCAAATAAAGAAAAAGAACTCTAGTAAGCTGAATCAAAAAATTAAAGGGGAGAGACAGAGAAACTAAGAAAGTGCTGGTCATAGAGACAGGCCTGGGGGGAATGTGGTGGGAAGGAAACTGAGACATTGGTGGTAGGAATGTGCACTGGTTGAGGGATGAATGTTGGAACACTGTACGACTGAAACCCAACCATGATCAGCTTTGTAATTGTATTCCCAGTGACTCATAAATTAAAATTTAAAAAAAATTAAAGAGGAGATGTCATAACAGATATCACAGAAGTTCACTGATCATCAGGTATTACTTTGAAAATCTTAATGTCATAAAATAGAAGAACCTAGAAGAAATAGAAAAATTCTTGGTCTCCTATAATCTCCAAATGTTGAACCAAGAAGAAATAGAGCATCTGAACAGGTTATGTATGATAAATGAAGTTGAAATGATAACCAAGTCTCCTAAAAACAGATGTATTGGCCAAGATGGTTTAGCTAGAGATTTCTTCTAAACCTTTAAAGATGTTCTACTCCCAGTCCATTTCTGGATCTCTGAAAAAGTTAAAGAAATAGAAATCCACCAAATCTTTATGAATTAAACAGTGATATCAAAAGCAGACAGGAACACCACAAAAAGAGAAAACTTTAGACTTATATCCCTAATGAACATGGACACAATGTGCATCAGCAAAATATTAGCAGGCTGAACCAAAGAACATAAAGAAGACTACAGAACAGAACCAACTAGGATTCATTCTGGGAATATAATGAAGCCTCAATACATGCAAGTCAATCAACACAGTACATTATATCAATACAAGAAAAAAATCATATGATCATACCAATAGATGAAGAGAAAGCATTTTACAAGTTAAAAACACACATTAATGTTCAAAAAAGCTCTTAATAAAATGGGAGCTGTAGGAATTATCCACAACATAACTAAGGCCATTAACCACAAGACCACAGAAAATGTTTACTCAAAGTCAAAAAACTGAAGTCTTCCCTGTAAGTTTAGCACAGCTCTCACCACACCTATGAAACGCACCTATGATGCATTGAAATTAAAAGCTAATAAAAAAACTCACTCTCACCACAACTATTCAATATAGTATTGGAAGTACTTAACATAGCAATTAGAGAAGAAAAATATGTGAAGAGCATCAAGATAGGAAAAGAAGTCAAATTATATTTGCCTATGACATGATTCTAGATGAGAAAACCTTAAAGACTACCACAAAACCCTTTAGAAAGAAAAGACTTTTACAGTAAAATCTGTACAGGTTAAAAAGTCAATGCACATAATGAAATGGAAACATATTCCCATGTTAATGGAATATAAGGATTAAAATTCTCAAAATGTCAACCTTGCCCAAAGCACTATACAGTTTCAGTGCAATGTACATAATGCCCATGGCATTTTAAAAAGACATAGATAAAACATGTTGAAATTTATAGGAAGTATTACTTTCCTTTCCCCATGCTCCCTCCAACCCTCAAAACCAAAGTCTTTGGCTCTCAGTAAATCCTAATAAAAAAAGAAGGGGAGGCTTCCCTTTCCCTAACTTCAAATTGTACTAGCACTGCAGCATTGTCTCCCCATCGTTCATAGATTTGCTCAAGAGGGCACCAGTAACGTCTCCATTGTGAGACTTGTTGTTTACTGTTTTTGGCATATAAATATGGCATGGGGAGCTTGCCAGGCTCTGTTGTGTGGGAGGGATACTCTCGGTAGCTTGCTTGGTTCTCCAAGAGGGATGAAAGAATTGAACCTGGGTCGGCTGCATGCAAGGCAAATGCCTTACCCGCTGTGCTATAGCTCCAGCCCAAATTGTACTAGAAAGATGTATAATCAGTGCATTATTGGAATAAGGACAGACTCTCATATCAATGAAAGAGAATTGTGAGTCCAGAGAGAGAGAGATCATCAGGTAAATGGACAGTTAATCCTTGATAAAAGCAAAAAAATATGAAGTGGAGAAAAAAAAACCCTCTTCAATAAATGGTGCTAGAAAATTTGGTTAATCACATGCAAAAAACGTGAATTCAGATACTTTCTTACACCATGCACAAAAGTCAAATTAAAATGGATTAAAAACTCAACATAAGACCTGAATCCCTCAGTTATATTGAATAAAACATAGGCAGAACACTCCATAACATTGATGTTAGAGTTATTATTAATGGAATGTCATTGTCCAAGAAAACTGGAGCAAAGTTAAACAAATGGCACTACATCAAACTGAGAAGCTTTTGCATTGCAAGAGAAACAATGACCAGAATAGAAAGATAACACTTGGGATAAAGTATTTGCCCACTATTCATCTGATAAAGGGTTACTAGCCAAGACACATAAAACACTGGTAGAACTTTGCATGGAAAACAACAACAACAACAACAACAACAACTAACTAAGCCCATGGGAGGCAGGAGGGGCGGGGGGTGTTGTAAAGATTTCACTGTGCAGAAACTTCTGCAAAGACAAACAGTTAAGACATATGAAAAATGCCCTGCATCACTTATAATCAGTAAAATGAAAATTAAAACCACAATTAGATATCATCTCATAGCAATGAGATTAGCACACACCACAAAGGAGAAAACAAACTTCCAGGGATGGCATGATTGTGGGGAAAATGGGACCCTCATTCACGGTTGGTGGGAATGTTGACTGGTTCATACTTTTTGGTAAACATAAAAAGATACTCAAAACTAGGAATTAAACACCATATGGCCAGCAATTTCACTTGTTGACGTTTACTACAAGGGTCCTAAAATTCTATTAAGAACAGCCATTTTCACTCCTATGTGTATTACAGTACTATTCCCAATAGCTCAAATCTGAAAACAAGCCAAGTCTTCAAGAATAGATGACTGTATAAAGAAACTATGGTACATATTCACAATGGAATACTACTTGGCTGTAAGAAAAGATGAAATCATGCAATTTGCTGCTTAAATGGATGGATCTGGAGTATATCATGCTGAGTGAAGTTAGGCAGAAGAAGAGAAACAGACACAGAATGATCTCTCCAATAATCAGGATATAAAGAAACACAATAAAAGAAATAACGAATGCCCAAAGGCAGAAACTGAGAACTGGTCTTCAGTGGGATGCTTACCAAAAGGGAGAAAAAGGAAGGGGATGTAATGGGATAAGGACATTGACACAGTGATGGAGTAAAGTGGAAATTCTGGTGGAGGGTGTAGTGCTTGAATGTCTTATGCATGAAGCCCTGTCACTAACTGTATTGCAAGCCATAGTGCCTTAAGCAAAGTAATTTTTAAATACTTTTTAAAATATTGAGGCACATTATCAAAAGGGAAAAAAAAACTAAAAAAAAGAGAGGTTGTCACAGTTAATTACTAAATTCTTTTATTTGATTGAAAAAATAAAGATGGGACTAATTTTTTAGAAAACTGCTTTTAGCTGTCAAGTTATAACCAAAGACAAAAAAGTCGGGGGTCTCTAATGCCTAATTTAGAAAGAGAAATGGGAGTTTGAATTTAAAAATAAAGTGCTGGCTGCAAGAAACTAAGGATGAATGGGAAGTTAGACTATATGAAGATGTAAAAATGTAGGACCTAAGGTTTTTAACAATAGCAAGTATAATCTACTGAATAAACAGTGGTGAATAATTATGTGGTTGAGGTGACTAGAGTGTTTATCTGAAAAAGGTGAATCTTGGGTGCCACCTACCTAAATATGACACACACGCCTGAATGCAGGGAAGATAGGGCCCTGGGAAATAAGACAAGATTAAAGGAGGTTAAAGACTATCTTCTGAGATATAATATAAAGAAATAAAATTTTAAAGTACTCCACTCATCTAAGATATTACAAAATGAGATGAGAATAAAATGAGAAGTTTTGGATATAGCAGACTAGACAATTAATATAGAAAATCAAGAGGATCACTTTGATGTTTATGACCATAAAAGTCATTGAGTGAAAGGAAGAATATGTATACTGAAGAACTAAAGATTTCCTGCATGGGCAATCTTCAAAGTCTAACTTCAATTTAACCCACCTCCCAAATCATCATTAAGTTATCTTACTGGGTATTATAAGAACATTTATACCTTTCTTTAGTAAGTAATATTTAACCTTAAATTTTAAGAAGATTTACAAACATTACTGTTCAGCAGTAAATAACAGTTTTATTTAAATGCATTTCAAATAGATGTAGTCACCCAAAGATAAACATATTCCAAGTTTCGAAATTCTTCAAAAGAAACTAAAAAAGGGCATTCTCAAGTTTTATGGCATGACTAATCCTAAAGTAAACAGTTAAAAGTTTATTCATTAACATTATTCTTATTAATGCTAAGCAGCTAAGTATATTTATATAAATTAAAATATAATGTTGTGTAAAACAATAATTTTACCTAGTTTATCCATCTTCCAAGTAGACAGATAAACAGTGGAACATTAAAATCATATAGCCTAGTGACAACAATAATTATGCTGTAGATGCTCAGATAACATATGCTTCTAATAATTTAATTTTAGTAGTGCTAACAATATGCTTCTAATAATACTTCAATAATATATCCTACTGTTAAGAAAATATTTTTCTAGGAATACACTGTACATTTCTCATACATGGAATTATATATGAATAAAGAAAATTTGTCACAACAATATAAAATTGTTTCCAAATTTTTGGAGGCATTTGTACTTTGTGCCCTATGATTTGTAAAGCTAAATTTTAGAGTATTAATTTATCAAACAAGTTTTCACTAAATTTTAAACAAAATCTAAAAAAAATCCTTTACTGTAATGTAAATTATTAAATTTAGCAAATAAAATAACAGAGGACATGACTGACATTAGTGCACTCTTCTATGTTTTGAGAATTGTTAAAAATGCTTGTCTTACTAAATCTAAGTTATATTTAAAATTTAGTACCCTCACTATTTAATTTTTACCAGTCACTCACCAAAATACCATATGAAAGTTAGTTAAAAATTATATAATAAATGATATCGAATTACTTGCACCATTTGCAAATTCTAACAGCAATAGATTTAACATATATATATTTCATTTAAATATTAATGACAGCAACAATATATGAATCTTTATTAATCATACACCATAATGTTACATTGTTTATTTCCAAGTAGCATCTACTGTAACAAAAAGCTGGCAGAAAAAGTTTGAAACAAATTTAGTTTTGGGAGTAAGGAGAAAAATAGAATTTTGATCACAAAAATGACCATGGACTGTACATGAAAAAAATGTCTTTCCTAGGAGAGTGTGAATAGAAAAGTCTCATACAAACATCACCTTTCCAAATAAAATTATATTCTAATATTCCCCCAAAATGATGGTAGTATCTTCTCACTGTCCACAGTCACTTCATCTAGTCATTCCTACTGTAGTCAATTTCATCCTAATCTGAGGGGGCAATGATAGGGATGGGTTAGGGGAGGTGGTGGTGTGTGCTAGGATAAGGAGAAAAACACAAGAAGGAAATCAACCACAAACAAAACTTACATAAAGGAACTTAACTCCAAAAGAATCTATTCTAGAGGATTTCCTAGGAACACTTTATCCAGATGGACATATACCAAAAGAATCATAATACACATAGAAGGTTTTTTTTCTGCTAGACCTTTAAATATTATGTATCTTTTAAGTATTAAAAGTGTGATTTTCCCCAGAATGCACAGTAGCCTTAAATATTAGACAGTATATTTTTACTTGCACAGAGACTATGAAATTGCTGTCTATCTGGAACAATGTGGAACTCTATGATGCTTAGCTGACTATAGAGCTACGTAATTGCCCATTTCTTTGCTTCCAATGAGGCCTGACAGCTCACCAGTTTATTGCAGTGGCTGATGACTACAAAGAGACATTTCTCAGTTTCTAATTTCATTTTAGAAAAGATTTCTTGAAAATTCAGCGTTGAAAAAATAAAGCTTATGAATAATGGAACACACATTGCTATACTCAACCAGATTATATATCCTATCACATATATATGTGATGCACTCAAAAAATATATATAATATACAAAAATTACAAACAGGAAAGCATCTAAGAACTTCAATAAACTACAAAAGTGATAGTATGAAAAATAATTTCTGATTACCTCTGTTTAGTGATGCTGAACTGTTTATATCTCCAGTAATGAAGGAAGACTCTGACTGCTTTCTTACTGTGTCATTCCACATTCTACGAATTCGGCTCTGAGTTACGGAGAAAAAAAGAAGAAAATAAACTCAACTCACAGTGAATTTTCACACAAGTGATATTTTTTTCTTTTTGCCACAGCTACTTAAAACTTTGATTTTGGAGTTTGGGCATAAAACTTCTCTATGCTTTAACACAGTAGCTTGACAATATTAGAAACTAAATTAATGACAGTAGCTGGTCTCATTCAGTGCATTCCTAAATGCCCAAACTATCAAAAATGATAACTATAAAAAAACAAATAGTATAATATACCATACCAATGTAAATGTGTTCAAGATACATAAATGCATACCCTAGACAACCAGAATTTTATTCCAGCTCTTATGGAAATTGGATTAAATATGCGATAAGTTGTCACTTTTATCAACAAAAGATTTAGTATAAAAATTCTGAAATGTTGCAAAAAGAAGCTTTGTAAGAAAAAGATCAAAGAATTATTAAAAATACTGAACTGAACTTTTTTTTATATTTTAGGAATTTTTTTGTTTGAGAAAAATGACATACTTTTTAGGTTTTATATTATCCTGACTTTGTTTTGAAGGAGATAAAGGAAGTCAATCCACCCTCATTCAGTGTTTAACAGAGAATACGAAAAACATCAAACATTCTTACGTTCTCAGATTTAATTTTATGAGGCTTAGATAATTCAAGAAAATTGTGTAATATTTTCACATTTAGTGGTATTTTTCTGTTTATTTTGTTTTGCATTTTATTGACTTTGAGGTCATTACCAATATTGTATGGAGGAAACAAAAGATTTTTGGAGATAAGAATCATTATTGCTACTAATGGTAAAAATCAAGCTCACAAATTGGTTATGTTCTCTATATAGCTGCACTTTATGACAATATGAGCACCTCATCTTAAAATATTACACAACTGCATGTCAAATACTAACCTAGGACAAACAGAAAAGGCAAATACAAAACATAATTCAAAACATTTGTCTTTTTTGGAGGTACCATACTAGCACAGATAAATCAAAGTATCAAATAAATAAATGCAAAAGCATATTGACATTTTCACAAAGTTCCATATGAATCATTAATATACACTGAAAGCTATGAACAACTGAATTCACTATGAAGGTCAAAGTGGTAAATAGATTATATAATAACATGCAGTGAAGAAAATTTTAAAAGATAACATGGATGACTGAGCAAAGAACGAAAATAATAGGTTCTAAATGATTCAATGTAGATAAATATCATATCTATGTATACATATGCAAAATGTACTAATCAAAATTAAGATTGTGGTTTGTTCAGAGGAAAGGAGAAATGTTCAAAGATTTTCTGAGGTACTCCAAATTTATTCTCATTTGATTTGAGGATAGGGAATAATATCACTGTGCCAAACACTTTCACCTTGTGTAGTTTTGGGAATGCATGATTCACAACACAATTTCTTAAAAAATGGACAAAATTAGAGGATGTATCTTTGTCTAAGAACTCTAAGAAGACTGCAATGAGGAAGTGACATTGCAGTGAGAATGATTAGAATAAAAATCGCTGTTAGGATACATTTCTATGAGCAGCCCCATAATTTCCTCTGTTAAGTTTTCTCTACAGCTGGGGCCATATTTACTCTCTTGTCCTCCCTTACAGGACAAGTAGACTCCTAGGTTAGGGGTAGGTATAGGTTGCAGATGTTTCCTCTGCCTAGAGTGCTCTTTGTCCAGGTACCGATATACAACTGCTTCACTTCTTTATACTTTGCTTATTTATTTTTCCTTAAAGAAATCTAGGTTGGCCCATTTTTAAAGACTTGTATCCCATCCTCCCATTTCCACTTTGTCCCTTTCAAGTAATTACCATCATTTTTTATGTCATTGTTACTATAATGTATTTATTTAATCTAGATTGTCATTCATTACCTGTCCAGTTTTTTTTCATGATTAATGTCTGCACAATAATGCCTCTATAAAATTTTACTTTATGTTTATGTAACACAGCTAAAATATTGCCTGGTACTCAACAAACATTACACACAAATTACACACACATACACACACACACATATATACACACTATATATACACACAAACCTATAATGTAATATGATTTTTCTTCTCTGTATCCACATACAGAGAGATAGATTAGTAGAGCTATATTGCTCTCTTGTATATGTATATTATATAGAGAAATATCTACATATATACATTATATACTGGAAAGAAAAGGAAAACATATAAATATGTTTTTCATACAAAAACATATAAATCAACGATTTATATATTCTACACTAGTCATTTTTCATGCATTCACTCACTGAAACCACACAAGAACTTTAGAATTAGGTACCTATTTTTTCAGTAGAAAAGTAATAGACAGAAATAAAAATTTCCAATGTGAGTTAAGTGGTATAATCAGCATTTGTAACTAGTCACCTTAATCTAATTAACTACATCAAGAAAGAGCTGGAACAGGAAATAGGGAAAAGGATAAAGTGTGGCAGGCAGAGAGAAAATATGCATATATTACATAGCACTAAATCCTAATGCTGAAATGTTCATGGAATGAAACATGAACATCAGAGTATTGGAAGTACCATAGAATGGGTATTAATATACTGGAGTTAAAAAACTCATAGAATATTATAGACAGGAAGAGAACACTATTTTGTAATTTCATTGTTTCTTTTTCCCTTTTAAAAAGTATTTTAAAAAGTTTGGGACCATGTCGCCTAGTCCTCAGGCTTACTCCTGGCTCTTGCCTCTGGGGTCATTCTAGGCAACTCTCCAGGGTCAATATAAGGGTGCCTGCTTTTGAACAGGGATTGGTTGCATGCAGGTGTGTGACTGAGGCTTCATCTCTCTCTCCAGCCCTCCTTTCTGCCAATGTTGCAGTGCCCAGGATTGATCCAAGACATAAGTGCAAGGGAGGCATTTTACCAATGAATTATATCCCTACCCCAAGACAACATGTGACAGATTTTTCATTTTTCACTTTTCCATTTTCACGGACACAGTCACTGTCCTCCCATTGTTCATTGATTTGCTCGAACGGGCCCAGTAACATTGTGAGACTTGTTGTTACTGTGTTTGGCATATTGAATACGTCACGGGTAGCTTGCCAGACTTTGCCGTGCAGGTGAGATACTCTCGGTAGCTATTTACAGTGCCATTTTTCGGACTGAGAAATGCAACATTATTGAGTGTTGTCAGAACACCTTGGGTATTTTACATAGTTGGAATTATATTCTGAGTGAACTTTTGGTTGTTCTGCATTCAGAAACTTTTTACTGCTGACACTGTTTCTGTAATCCCCATGTATTAGGTTTCAGGTAATGATAATCTGTCTTTTTCTTAATCTCTTATGTATTCTCTTATCTTGATATTTTTGTCCTAGACATTCTTTCACATACGATTATTAAGATGAAAGAATATACTATTATTATTATTAACTTTGGGAGAAATTTCATGAAGTAAATTCCTTTCCATTACATATTTTATTATTTGTTTTTATTCATTTGATAGATTTGATTTTTAAGAATTTTCAAAAATGACTTGTCTAGGAACAGCTGTGCAGTCTAACAAAATGTGTTTGATGAAATAAGACATTAAATTTGTAGTTTGCATTTAAAGGTCACAAGGATATTTAATTTTCTATTCATGTGAGTACAATTGGAGAAATTCAATCTATTTAACTTAGCAGATAAGCTTAATTATAAATAAAACATAACTTCCTTGGAACTTTGGGTTCAGTGCCAAATTCTTCATTTGGCCTTTCTTGTACACTCATTAATTGATAAATAAAGCAAAAACATTTATTATTGCGAAAATGTAGCCTCTAAATTTCATAATTTTATTCTAATTCACTTACTTTGATTTCTGTTCTATTCTTAAGATGTACTAAAACAACAACAAAAACAAATACCACATATTTAACACTAGGAATGAAAATAGCAAACTACCAAGGACAGCAATTTGTAACAGGAAATAAGTAGGAAATATTGAGTTTCAATTAACAAGTAATCTTACCTGTGAGCCTGTGGAGTATCGTCCAGGAGTTCGAGAACCAGATGTTTTCCCTGAGCCAATGGAACTCTCTGTACTTTTGCCACTACAACAATGTGTGCGCAGGCATTTCCCATATTCTTTTCGTACCTAGCCAATTAAATGTGAATTTCTGTTAATACTTCAAGCAATTAATTTGAGTTAGCAACTATGATATAAAGTGATTGCTCTATTTTTAGATATTAATAGAGCTGTTTTCTGGTCATGCCGATCTAAGAACATCTGTTGGGCATATATTGTACAGTAGAAAATAAAACACATAGCATCAAGTTCAAAATTTGCATACCCGGAACCTTTGCAAACGCATATACTTCCAATCACAACACACCAGTATTATCACTTAGACAAAAATTAAAAATTTAAGACTTCAGTACACTATTTTTAGCTTTATCAAAATCATATGAAGTAGCCTACTGCTGTAATGGTACTGCAGTTACTGTTCTCTAGGGCTAGAGAATAGGTTAAAGAGAAATGAGAGAAAGGAGAAAGAGAGGTAGAACAGTGAGAAGAACCAAGAACAAGAAAGGTTTGGGAGAAAGAGTGAGGACATTTAATGACATAAAAAAATCCTGAGTTAATAATTTTTTTTAAAACTACAATTATTTAATTTTTTAAAAAATGACCAAACTTGTGGCTTTCGAATATAAGTGTAAAGTTATTGAGAATTTACTCCTTAAAAATATTTCTTTTCAACAACCTTAGAGAAATGTGATTATGCTTTTTAGTGTTTCTGATTAAAATTTTAACCCAATTGTAGGGCAGCAGGGCAGGGGAGATACCTGAGTGAGTAAATACTTGTTGACTCACGGTTTAATGCAGGAAATATATCAAAAACCTTTGGGAAAACTTTAATCAAGTTTAAATTGGGTGCCAAGAAGACAGTTTAAATGGCCTGCGCTTTTAATTTCATGTTGAGGGGTCCTTGTTCAATCCCTGGCATCCCACGTCTTCCCTGAATGCTGGGAAATCGCTGTGTCACCAAGGCAAAAGCAGCTTCTCAGCAATACTAGTGTGGACCCAAAAATATCCCCAGAAACACCAGGATTTTTTTGTTTGTTTGTTTGGTTTTTGGCTGGGCTGGAGTGATAGCATAGCAGTAGGGCATTTGCCTTGCGCACTGCCAACCTGGTCCGAGCCGGGTTCAATTCCTCCGCCCCTCTTGGACAGCCCGGCAAGCTACTGAGAGTATCTTGCCCCCGCGGCAAAGCCTGGCAAGCTACCCGTGACGTATTCAATATGCCAAACATAGTAACAACAAGTCTCACAATAGAGACGTTACTGGGTCTGCTCGAGCAAATCGATGAACAACAGGAGGACAGTGTTTGTTTGTGGTTTTTAGGCCACACCAAGCAAGGTTTACGTCCTCCTGGCTCTGCACTCAGGCATCACTCCTGTCAGTGCTTGAGAGACCACCTGGTATGCCAGGGACCGAACCGGGGTCAGCTGCATGCAAGGCAAGTGTCTTCCATGCTGTCCTGTGGCTCCTGACCCAAAACTGTTTTTTTCCCCTTATTACCTAGTTCATGAAACAGGAAAGACAAAAATAAAACATGCTTATCAGCTACAAATATATTTTGTTTCTTGTTTGATTGCTCTTGTGGCCATCACATACACTTTTCTAAATTTTTGCCTTTTGCCCACTGCTTTTTTGGGTCCTTAAGAGTCACTCCAACCCTGTGTCTGAGAGTGACTCAAAGAGGTACTGGAGACCTGGTGGTGCTAAGGATCTAACCCATGCCTGCAGCATGCAACCAGGGGCACAGTTCATGATGATATTGGAGAACACCCATTGATATAGATTGCAAGCTATGCTAGTTACAAATATAACAAACGTGTAGCAGAATCAAAAATATGTTCAAATTTAGTCAAAGAATTCAACTTACTGAACACTTAGCATATGATAGGAAAACTTTTGCAATCAGGTGAGTTAAAGTATTGAAAAAGAAAAGATTCTAGGAAATAGGGAAGCCAACAAAAGCTCTCAGAGAAGACCACTTCTGGGAGAATCTTTCAAGGTATTTTGGCTATGTCAGTGCATGAGGTTGAAAGAAAGAGGAGACAGAAGGAGGGTGGTGTAGCTGTACTGGACAGTATAACAAACCAGAGTGCAATGCTAACCTTTGAAGTCATTTTCTGGTCTCGTCTACCAAAATCACACATATATTTAAGATTGTTCCAGTATATATTACCATTAATTAAATTCCTTTTATGCTAGCTATTAATAACCAGAGATATTTTAAATTCTGTTTTTAAAGATGATTCACATTTTGTGTATTTTAAAATAAATCTAGTTGCATGAGTATCTTCGATACATTTAAGTGCAGCTGAACAGGGTTCAATCACTGGCACCCTATATGGTCCCCAAAGCCCTCCCAGGAGTGAGTGCAAAGCCAGAAGTAAGCCTTGAACACCACTAGGTATGACCCTAATCATGCCCAAATATTCAAATTAAAAATAAACTTTGATCATAACCAAGATAACACTTTGTTTTTATTAATATACTCAAATATGTGGCTGACACGGTCGACCTGAGTTTGATTCCTCTGCCCCTCTCAGACAGCCCGGCAAGCTACTAAGAGTATCTCGAATGCACAGCAAAGCCTGGCAAGCTCCCCATGATGTATTCGATATGTCAAACACAGTAACAAGTCTTACAATGTTACTGGGCCCGCTCAAGCAAATCAATGAACAATGGGAGAACAGTGACAGTGACAATGACAGAATGTACTCAAGTAATACATTTTTTAAAGGTATTTAAATATAAAGGTAAAGGTCCTCCCGTTGATCGTCGATTTGCTCGAGCGGGCCCAGTAACGTCTCCATTGGAGACTTTGTTGTTACTGTGTCTGGCATATCCAATACTCTCGGTAGCTAGCCGGGCTCTCCGAGAGGGGCGGAGGAATCGAACTCGGGTCGGCCATGTTGGCTGCTTGTAAGGCGAACGCCCTACCGCTGTGCTATCGTTCACAGATAGTATACGAGCAAAAGAAGAGCTTGGGAAAGGGCAAAAAAGGGGGTAAGACTGGAAGGGTTAGAGAAATGAAGAGGAAAGATCTATCTTATTGCTCTAAAAGCCACAAGAATTCATTATAAACTATTTACAGTTTTGAACAAAGGTTAAATATTCTAAATTGATTTATTACATAAACAATCAGAAAATCTGGACACCTAATGATTCCAAGCCCCACATTACCTATATGAAATAATGAATAATTATATGGACTTTATTTTTCCATAGCTTTATTTGAAATGGTTAGCATGTATTTTAAAAATGGAATAAACAAAATAATATGGACTATGACCGTGAGACCTCTTTCTATACCTTGTCATAAGTTATTTGATTTTCAATTATTTTCACATTTTAGGTAAATATATCATTGTGAATTTAGTCAGGAATACATAAGCATACAATAAAATATACCTTGATAATGAAATATTTCTTATATATCTGAGTTCAGAAGCAAAATAATTATGAGCAGAAGCTATATTATAAAACTAAGTGCATACACGGACCTCATTCGGAACCCAGCAGTCTTGGACAGAAATGTGAATGGACTACGCATTAAGCTACAGTGCTGTGCACCCCCTGCCCCCCAGGTGGGAAAGGGTGCCTGTCTCTTCCACCTTTTCCCCCCTGGAGGCACAGTGACCTCTGTGTCAGAACTTATTGGACAGCCAGGTATGAGTCAGGGGTGACGGGGAAACTGAGGCCTCATGGGATGGGGAAGAACCAGCACGTCCTTCTTGCCCAGCCACGAGTTGCACCCCACGAGCGGCTCTCCATCACAGCCATGGACCCAGAGGCACACAAACCAATCTCAGAACTATGCGGCTTTTGGAAGAAATTATTCCAGACTTAATTAGTAAAATATCAGGAACCCAAAATTGCGACACAATACAGTATTCATAACCAGCAATAGAAAACAAATTATTTCACCATGTCTTTTCAGCAGGTCTGATTCTTGGGGGAAAATTCCAAATAATACGGGGGTATGGTGCCACCAGCAGGTCAATCTGTACCTGTGAGGTGAGTGCATCAGTAGCCTGATGGCAACATCAGACTTTTAGATACCCCCAAATTGCTGCTGTTCCTTTGGCCAGACCCCAAAATTTTGGGGCAAAGTTTACCAAGGAAGTAAACGGCCAAAAGTTAGGTATGTGGGAGACACATCCACAAACCACCTCCAGCTAAGCTATATAATTGGAGGCATGACCTCTCTGGTTCCTGATCGAACTGCTTAATGACCATGATCCCAGAGACTCAGAAACAAATTTCAAAACCCAGCGGCTTTTGGCAGAAATGTATCCGGTCCCTGCAGTAGGTTACTGGTGCTGGGTCAACCCAGGTGGGAATAGGTTTCGTGCCTTGGCCTGTTCCCCCTGGCGGCCTGGTGACCGCCATCCACCAGAGGCCACTGAACAGTCAGGTTTGGGCCTGCAGTGATGAGACAACTGGGGCCTCACCACATGGGGGTGGAGCCAACTCTCCCATCCCAACAAGACCACGAGTCACGGCCTCCAAATGGTCTCTCTGGCTCCTGATCAAGCTGATTAACAGCCATGATACTGGAGACTCAGAAACAAATCTTGAAACCCAGCGGCTTTTGGCCGAAATGCTTCTGGACTGCAAACAAGGTGGCCGCCGGCTCAGAACTTATTGGAAAGCCAGGTATGAGCCAGCAGTGGTAACAGGGCAACTGCTGTCTCATGGGAAGGAGGGCGGTACCGGCTCGTCCTTCACGCCCTACCGAGGTTATGCATTGCCCCCACAAGCGGCTCTCTGTCACAGCCATGGCTCCAGAGGCAAAAGGACTTAGTCCAGAGCCCAGCAGCTTGCAGAAGAAAAGTAAATGGACCATGCATTAAACTACAGTGCCATGCCTCCCCAGGAGGGAAAGGGTGTTGCACCCTTCCACCTTTTTCCCCCCTGACAGCAAAGTGGCCGCCACCTCAGAGCTTATAGGAAAGCCAGGTATGAGCTGACGGTAATAGGGCAACTGCAGTCTCATGGGAAGGGGGGCGGTACCGGCACGTCCTTCACACCCTACTGAGGTCACGAGTTACCCCCCATGAGCGGCTCTCCGGCACGG